ACATAGTAACAGCCACATTGTACGATAACTGACTTTGATAGACTTGGCTTTTCTCAGTGATGCAAGGATCTAAGACAACTCCAAGAGACTCACGATGGAAAATGCTATCCACATCCAGAGAAGGAACTGGAATCTGAATGCAGTTGGAAACATACTATTTGCTCTGCTTTTTGTTTTATTGCTTCATTCTCGTGGTTCCTCCCATTAGTTCTAATTGTTCCTTACATCATGACTAAAGGAAAAATATGCTTAATATGAATGTATAAGTAGAACCTATATCAGACTGCATGGCATCTTGGAGGAAGGGGGGAAGAGCGGAAGGGAGAGAACATTTAAAACTCAAGATCTTATGGAAATGAACGTTAAAAACTAAAAATAAATTAGTAAAAAAAATAATACTGTAAAGACAAATAACTTTGAAAGACTTATGAACTCTGATTAACACAATGACTAGCTATAATTCCAGAGGACTCATAATGAAATGTATTATCCAGCTCCAGATAGAGAAGTGATGAACTCAGAGTGCAGAAGCCCACTTTTTTTTGGTAGGGAAGGAGGATGATGGCTAACAATGTGAATTTTCTGGCTTGACTATAAATAATTGTAACGGGCTTTTTTATTCTTGATTTCTCAGTGAGAGAGAGAGAAGGAAGTAGAAGGGAGGTAATTCAGACCTGAAAATATTTTTTTTAAAAATGGTTTATTAACTAATCATGAAACATAATAGAACAGAATTCTCCAGATGTAGCTTGATCATATAACAGAATGCTCACTTTACTCAGTAATTTTGGACACTATAACTCCATACTGAATGAAGCTTATGATTATGTAAGCTTTTTGAACTGTAATGACACATTGCTGACTTGTTGAGCTGGAAGTCCATCACAGTAGTTTTATGCCTATTTTATATGAAATGATTGCTATCTAGAGCATCCCCTTATCCTGTAAACGAAAAATGGAAATTGTGAGCACAAGAACTCATCCTATCGTGAGTCAGAAGATCTGAGCTTGAATTCTAGCTCTCTCTTTTATTAACTGAGTGACCTTCAGTCAGTCATTTAACCTCCCTGGGCCTCAGTTTCCTCACCTATAAAATGAAGGGGCTGGACTAAACGGTGTCTTAGGTACCTTCTAGTTCTAAGTTTACAACATACAATTACTACTTATTTTTACTAAATTTAATCTTGTAAGCTTCAATTCATTGTTTCAACCCATTTCATTCTTACCTCCCTTACCTCTAACTTTTCATGGTATTAATTATTTGGCAAGCAATGCTAATTTAATGATAGCTGCTCACATTTTCATCCTTCAATACCCTTTTCCCTCAGGTGTTTGAAAGTGATGACAGGTGAAAAAGTCACTAATTTGGGCAGACAATTATTGAAACTTTACACAATATAAATAAAACATAAATGGCATCGTATACAAGTACGATGTCCTTTTCTACTAGTGTCAGAACTCTCATTGCAGGAACTAAAAAGCCAAAAGCATTAAGATTTCAAAGGTAAACAACAGGACCAGATAATATCAAGTTGCTTAATAACAAAATTCTTAAATGTTCATAATAGAAATATAAACAAGATCTCAATATCTACTATCAACGTTCAGGCTTTCTTTTAAATCACTCTGAATTTCTAGCAATCCTGAAACAGTGCAAAAAATATTTTTATAAATACATGAAATCTCTCCCATACAATGAACTTTTTTTTTGTTTTAGGCAATTGGGGTTAAGTGACTTGCCCAGGGTCACACGGCTAGTAAGTGTCAAGTGTTTGGTCTGAGGCTGGATTTGAACTCAGGTCCTCCTGACTTCAGGGCTGGTGCTCTATCCACTGCACCACCTAGCTGCCCCGAACTTTTAATTAATCAGTTTAATTAACTAGTCTTTCTTATTACTCACTTGGCAAGTAAGAATTACAAATATAGAATAACACATCCCACTCCCCTCCCCCTTCCAAATATCTAAATACATCATTTTATTCCTACCATCATATAAAATGTTTCACCTAATATAGTGTAAGAAAATGGGAGGGGGGCAGGGAGGAGAGAGAACCACATCAGATCAGTCAGTACTGTTAAGAGTACACATGAAAAAACATGTGGGACAAAAAAATTCCTTCAGTGTATATACTGATATGTCTTATGGGTTTTGTGCCCCTATTGCCAATATTAAAGCAACTTACTTTCCTAAAGAATAGTTTTGTTAAGTAAATGCATACCATAATCAGCATATTTCTCAAGAAGGATAAAATGGCTAAATAAAAGAATTACAGACAGGAAATAACCTGATAAAAAATAATCACAATATTTTAATGTTAATTGGTTTGTGCAATAAAAGAACAAGTATGATAAAAGGTGGCATCCCACTACAACGACTTTAGCAAAATTCAGCAATGCATTAATCCTATTCAAATAATAGTTATATTTTAAAATGAACAACCACTCAATTATCTCTGGATCCAGTTCAGTTTATAAGAATTCATGAAATTCTTAAGAAAAAAAAAAGATTGGCACAATATACTCAGCCAAATGTAGCCACCCCCACCACAAGAAAATCTATTAATATAATTTCTATCCTTCAAAAATCTGAAAAGTGCCTGAAACAATCTTTTCTTTTCAGCTGCTCTTGCTGAATAGCTGCTGTGTTGACTATTTCAAAATTCCTTATAACCTTATCATTTACATAGAATAGCAGGCATCAGTCTCATTCTATTACAGCAGTGATTCAGAATAGAAACTAAAAAGATAAAAAGAGAACTACATAAAAATCACTTGGATTGAGAGGGTGCTATTTCCACAACTTATAAAGAAAAGGGAAAAGGTAAGAGGAAAGAGACAAAATAATAAATTATTTTTATAATGAAGGCAAGAAGGGAGGTAGAAAGAAAGACAGTCTTATAACATAAAAGAAAAGGTAATAACTGGCCATAGTTTCAAGAGAATGTTTAAAGGGAGGTGGGGGTGGGGAAGGAAAGACAAGAAAAAAGGGAAAAATCAACATAACACCACTTAAGTTAGAAAAATAACAGGGAGTAAAGTCTAATTATGTAAAATGTCAGTAAATATTAAATTATTAGTGAGAAAAGTCAAATCTAAATCAACTTTTACAAAACAAATAGGACTTCCAATGAATTCTCACTAAAGTCCGAAGAACATGAACATCTCAGATGTTAGAGCAGGGCCCTACCCAGACTAGCCTGTAAGTTCTATTTGGACACTGGCCTGGTTTGGAAGTAACACAGATGGTCAGGTTCATAATCATAGAATTTCTGCTCATCAGTGCTACAAGGTAATGCCTTTGAGGGAAAGGCTTGGAAAGCTCTTGTTGGCTTAGTAATCATTTCCTTTCAGCAGCTACTGCCTTCTCCATTTGGTGATCAGTGCTTTCTTCAGATCCATTCATAAAGGTCCACTGATGGCATCACTATCACTCCCCTTTAGAACATTTGGAAACAGGGCCTACCTAACTGAAGTACAGCTCATTAATACAAGAAAGTAATTAAGCACTTGGCAAAGAAAGAGTCCCTAATTTTGGTGCTTGGTGACACCTTCATAGAAATGGCAGTGGTTAGGGTTATGAGGCTTTCATGGAGATGGCAACACAGTGTTCATATGTGAAGGGTATTATGTTCCCTTTCTGTTTATAGGGACTCAAACTTAAAGGGCAAAAGATGCTTTGGGCAGGGGGAACCAGTAGTGTTAACTTCCCGCCAGCTTGCATCATACAAATCTCTCTGCCTGTAATTTGACTGAAGCAGGTAGGGCAAGGAAGGGGAGAAAGGAGAAGAAATTCTGGGACCGTGTACACACAAGTCAGGAAGCAGGATTAATTAAAGCTATCCCAAGAAGCAGCACAATGCTGCAATGTCACACCTCAAATACTGGTCAAACCATCTTTCCTGACACTAAGGAAGAAATTAGTGCAGTAACACAGATTCCCAGAGTTGGAAGGCACCTTTGAGGTTATCCAGTCCAACTGTACCTGGAAAAGAATTCCATCTACCACATCATCCATGTTATTACCCAGCTGACTCTTGAAGCTCTCTAGTGAAGGGAACTCAGTAATTCCTGAAATGGCCAATTCAATTTTTTGGAAAGTTCTCAATTGCCAGGAAGTTTTCACCACATCAAGTTCAAATCTCTGTCTCTGTAACTTCTACCCATTGCTCTCAGCTGGCTTCTGGGACAAGGCTAACAAGTCTAATCCTTTTTCTTTATGATAGGAGTCTAGAGGGAATGTTTCACTTGGATTTCCCCAAATCTTCTCAAACATATATTAACATTCTGTTATGCCTTGCTGGAAACAATAACACTTTATAAGGTGTCTGGTTTTCATCTAAGCTACCCAATGTCTAACCCATCTTTGATTTGCTTATGAAGAGTAAAGGTTATTTGGGGTAACGTGACTTTGGATAAGCTCTATCACCACGTGTTGGGGGTGGATTACTATCCTAGCTCGACACCCTCCACACAAAGATCAAAGGAAGGATTTTTTTTTCTTTTTTTGGTGTCAAGAAGATACCAGGTATGACATAACCATTCAGCTTTACTGTTCTTAATTTTGCAGTTTACATTATGTAGAACCACTATGCTACGAGTGTGCTCTGTGACTCTGTACAACTAAATATTGTTTGAATCATGTTTCAAAAGGGATTTTTGAGTCTTGAATTACAGAGTTTTTCATTGTTATAATTCCTTGGTCATGAGGTAGTGATTGTTCAGTGCTTGAATACCAATGGTAAATAAACTGGTATGATTTATTAATGGATTAGTGGGTTATGGTTTAGCCCTCAATTACTTAAGTTTGAATTTAGATAGCCCAATCCAAATCCTCTGGCCAGAAAAGGAAAAGTAGCAAATTCCTTAACTTCATATGCAAATATACTTCAGAATTCTTTAAATATAATCATTTTGATAACAAACTGAATTAACTTTAGGAAAATTTTTGATTTTGAAAAATGATTTTTGACAATCTGATAGGTCCAGAACTACTAATGTACCTGAAAGAAGAATGTTCCCCGTGGACTGGTAATGTGACAGGAGAAGCTGGTGACTGGATATATAGAGACTGTCCAGAATTCTGAGTCCTTTTTCTGATTAGCTTCCCAGTGTTAGAATCATAAATTCGAACTTCTGGACCAGGTTGACACTTTGGATGGATAGGTGTTGGATGAAACAAGGCTGTTGGAAAAGCACTCTGTATATCAGGAAATGTTGCTGGACTATTTTCCCTGTTGGATAAAGATTTAACAGTTTTAAATTAGAAAATATTTTTAATATTAGTATTCAATGGAAAACAAGAATCATGATTTTCTATTAAGAACAGGCTCCTCATGTCATCCAGAAAAAAAAATGTTGTAGGAACCATAGCTAACTGACTAATTATTAGCAAATTGTTCAGGTTAGGCATATTCAACTATGCTCTGAAGATACTATAAAGTTGCGCAATAATTTGGGGTTCATGAAATCTTCAAAGAAGTAAATAATAAACTGCCATGATATGGAAAACAGTTACACACCAGTGACCATTATTACGAGGAACAGATGTGTGATACTGCCCCCATTAGGACTTTGGATGCCAGAAAGTATTGGGAACCATTATAGGGTACATATCCCACAGATTTCCTGTAATAAATTTTTTCTATTTATCTAGCTATGACATTCAGCCTTCTGGTTAGAAAATTTTTCAACTCTTCCAAGCCTAGCAGGGCTAAACAAAACATGGTGCTTTTGATTTCTCTATAATAAACATACTGAAGGTAGACTCTTGATAAAAAAAAAAACAATTAATTTTGTTTTTAGCATTTAATACATGCTTCCAACTCCACTTTCAAAAGAATTTGTAATATTCTTATGAAAGAACGGCTAAGGACATGTAAGGTAGAAAATAATATCTAAATTTCGTTCACAAATAAAAAACTATGCTGTAGTTTTTACATTAGAGTATCAATATGATTTCATTCTAAGATGCTATGTTCTAGTTTCTAGGCTAGAAGAGAGAGATTTTCTAGATTCTGGAGACCTCAACTCCCTCTATTATTTTTATACCAGCTAATATATAAATAAAGATTAATCTTTTAGCTCAGACATAAGAGATACCAATACATGTAACTAGATTTATTTTCTTGGGGTGGTGGGGGTGGTGGTACAAACCTTGTGATCTCATTGTTATAAGGAAATCTCCTCTCCCAATGAAGATCAACTGCTATGCAATTTAGTTGGGTTTTTTTACATTCATTTTTAAATTTTCTGTTCCAAGTTCTCTCCCTTCCTCACAACCCACTTAAGACAAGTAATATGATACCCATTATACATGTGAAATAATATGAAACATTTCTGTATTAGCCACATGCAATTTAGTTTAAACAGTTATCTGGGACACTGAGAGGTTAAATGATTTGAACAGGATATGCTGCCAGTGTATGTCAAAGATAAAACTTTAACCAGGTCTCCTTAACTCAGAAACTGGCTCTCCATTTACTATGTGATGCTGCTGTCTCTGATTAACTAATCTTGATTAACCACTTTAACAGAAAAGAGCAATGGGGATAATGCAAAATGTCGGGTGAAACAAATACATTTGGCTTTGACCAAATAAAACTAGAATTGTGAAGTTATGAAAAAACATCAAGGTACATTCTGAAAACAAGAAGGGACAGAACCGCAAAAATGAAATTGCCTCTAGATTGATTAGTTACATTAAAAGGAAACAAATCTCAGACTGGAATGGGGTGACATGATGAAGGGACAAAATATTTAAAATGAGAAAAGGGGGTTAGGTGATGGTAAATTACTAAATGTTAAGATGTAAAACCCACTAATTAATGGGGGGTTACTCCCCCCCACCACCTCTGAAGCTTTCAACCTTTGTTCATTCAAAAGAAAGAACCTGAAGTTTTGTTCTGAAGTTGAAAAATTAATGTGTCCCTAGATTTATTCTTCTGGCTAAGTAATAATAAATCAGTTGTGGAAGGAGGGGTAAGGTGATATCCTGAGCTTCTTTTAACATACCACACTGCCTTTCAAGAACAATGAACTAAGTAAGTGAAGCAAACTAAAAGGCCATAGGATTTTAGAGATGGAAGAGAACTAAATCATCGAGACTGACTTGTTTTTTTACCTACATATGAACGGATTCAAGAGGAAAACTGGAAAAGTTAAGCATTTTTACCTTTGTGTTTTGATGTAATCCTCCTTTAGAGGGAAGAGTTGTTCCTCTACTTTGTCCCACCTTTCCAAGCAGCTCCACAACCAATCAGGGTTTACAACATGGAGATGTTTACACTCTTGAGCTTGTCTTACTTTCTCTGTGCCTAGTGTTAAAATAATCACTCTAAAAATTAATGTTTAAGTAGTGATCTATTTAAAACAACCCCATGACTGCCCCCCCCAAATAAAACATTAAAAAAAAGTGCTACCAAATTGCTTTCTGGCACAATTGTGTTTTTTGGTCTCTTATTTGTCTCATCATTCCAGCCATCTTCTTGCTATCTTCCTTGCTACTACTGCACCCACCAGAGACCATGCCATGGAGGAACTAAGCCATTTATCTCTGAAATTCACACACTGGGTCCCTGATGTCATGACTGGTGAGAGCCAGACCTGAATGTGCTTCACCATCTTCTTTGCAAATACCACCCCCTCCCGCCCCGCCCAAGTTCCCAAATCTTGTACATGGCTGTAAAAGCCATACTGCAGAGTTTGCATCTTATCCAAGAAGAAATAGAGAGTCATTCAAGGCTTCTGAGCAGGAGAGAGGCATAATCAGTTATGTATTCTGGAGGAAGATTATTTCAGCAGCTGTGCAGAGGATTTATTAGGAAAAAAGAGAGAATAGAATCTGGGAGAATAATCAGGAGGTTATCATAATAATCTAGTGAAGTGATGAAGGTCTGTACTAGAGTGACGGGCTTGTAGGTGCAAATATGTGAAGTGAGATATTGCAGAGGAAGAATCAACAGAACTACAGAACTATTTGGATGTGGGTGTAGAGAATCAGAATATAACTCTGAGGTCACAAACCTGATGGGCAGCTAGATGGTACAATGGGCTTGGAGTCAGGAAGACCTGAGTTCAAATATGACCTCACGCACTTATCTGTGTATCCCTGGACAAGTCACTTACTCCTGTTTGTCTCAGTTTCCTCATCTGTAAAATGAGCTGGAAAAGGAAATGGTAAACCACTCCAGTATCTTTGCCAAGAAAACCCCAAATGGGGTCACAAAGAGTTGGACATGACTAAAATAACTGAACAACAACACAAACCTGAGTGCCTACAAGGATAAGCAGCTAGTTGGTGTAGTGGATAGAGCTTTGGACCTGGAGCTAGGAAGATCTGAGTTCAAATCCAGCCTCTGACATAACTAGGTATGTGACCCTTGGCAAATCACTTAACCTCTGCTTGTTTCAGTTTCCTATCTGTAAAATGAGGATAATGATAGCACCTACTTCCCGGGGACATTTAAGGATCAAATGAGATAACATTTGTAGAGTGCTTTGCAAACCCTAAAGTATTATGTAAATGCTAGATGATGATATCACCATCATCATCATCATCATCATCATCATAGAGCCTTCAACAGAAACAAGAAAGTTTGGAGGAGGGGTGCATTTAGCGGGGCAAATAATTAAAGGTCTATTTTAGACATATAAGATTTAAGGTGAAGATGGCCTACAGGCAACTGACAAGGTAAGAATGGAATTCAGGAAAGAGATTAGAACTAGATATAGAGAGATCTGGAAGTCACCAGAGTACATAAGAGAACTTAATCCATGGGAGCAGATGAGATCACCTACAGAAATCAAGGAGTAGTCAGGCAGGAAGGTGAAGAATCAAGACAAAGCAATACCCCAGAAGCCAAAGGAAAAGAGTACCTAGGAAGGGAGAATGAACATCAGTTTCAGAAGTTGCAAAGAAATCAAGAAGGATGAGGACTGAGAGAAAGCCCTTACATTCCATAGTTAGGAAATGACCTGAGGAACAGTTGCATAAGTAGTAGGGTCAGAAGGCAGACTACACAAGGTTGAGACATGAGTGGGAGGCTTTGACATGAGTGAGAAATTGAGATATAAATGGGAACATGAGCGTAAATAGGGTTGTAGGAATTTATAAAACAGAAAATATACAAGATGCTAGCTAGAGGGCATAACAAGGTATAGGGAAGGAATTTAAAGAATGAGAGGTGCAGGGAGAAGATGCACAATTGTAAGCAGCAGGGAAGGAGGCAACAGATAAGAAACAAACGAGGATGGGGTGGGAGTGGGAAGGAACTGACTGAAGGGGAAAGCTCTTGGAGGAAGCAGGAAGGGATCAGAGTACAAGGAGAGGGGGAGTTACACTTCGGCTAGGAGGGCCTCCTCTTCTTCCTCAGAAACTGCAACACAGAATGAGAGGATAAAGGACAACATAGAGGAGTTTTGGAGAAATGAAAAAGGAGAGGGAGAAGGAGTTCACGATGCATGACCTCAGTTTTCTCAGTCAAATAGGAAAATTCCTCTGCCAAGAGGAAGGGAAAGGCTAGAAAAGAACAGAAAAGGTTTGGAATAGCCACTGCCAGAAAAGGGAAAAAAAAAAGGGAAGTCTATCTGGGAAACAGAAAGTATGCAACTGCAAAGGTCTAGTTCAAGTTAAAGTTACAAGTAAAGTTAGAGTAAGAAGGTAAAGCTCAAAGGACATTTACTCTGACCCTTCCTTTCTCTTAGGTCTTAGTCAGCAGGGTTGAAAGACTTCTTCCAGCAACATTCAAAAACATGGGAAAAGGAGTAAAGTAGGAAGATGGAGTAGGTAATCTAGTGTTACAGTTTGGTAAACTATGGATAGTGACAAGATAATGGGGTAAATATTCAAAAAAAAATCGTATATAGTTTAAAGCCTTAAATTGAGGGAAGGAAAATGAACAAAGGCAAAGGTACTGATGGGCCAAAAAAGAGATAGATGTGCTAGAGGTCACAGTGAGGACAAAGAATAGGTTTAAGAGGAGTGCAGGTGACAAAGAGATGAAAAGATAAGAGGAATTTTAAAACTCGGGACCATTAATGTAGTAGTTACAGGTAATGGCAAAATCTAAACTATGACTACCTCTATGGATGGCTGAGATGGAACAAAGTCGTTAGCACAGCACATTAAGGTTTGCAAAGTGTTACCTCATTTATATTTAACAACCTTGTGAGATATGCACTACAAGTATAATAATCTCTATAGATAAACATAAGCTAGGAGAGGTTAATTAACTTACCCATGGTTACACTAAATACTAAATTATACTATATACCAAATGTTATACTATGTACTAAAAGTTAAGAGTAAGGATTTGAATCTGACTCCAGTCAGGCCTTCTTGACACCAGACCTAGGACTTTCTCTTATACCACGCTGCCTGTCACATGCAAGGCAAGAAAATTTAAGATGCTGAGGCTTAAAGAGACCAGAAGAGTTGAAGCAGTTCATGGACGACTGCTACTGCTTTATGCCATGTGCATTTCCACTTTGACCACATTGCCTACAAATCTGCAGCACCAACAATGGTACCGAGAAAGTTTTTAGGGGATTTAAAAAGAGGGTTTGACAGGCAGCTGTTTAACGGATTGTTCCACTGGCAATCAAGGGATTATGTTTTCCTTGTGGTGGCTCAAGGGATATTAACAAAGTTTTTCCAAATTTCCACATTACTGACAAAGGAAGCACCATCCTTCCTGTCATCCAGGCTTGTAACCTAGGGGTTACCCTTGATTCCTCTCTTGCCCTCACCCCACCTATTCAAAGGTTAAGTCTTGTCGCTTCTACCTTTACAACATTCCTCATTTGTCCCCTTCCCTCCAGTCACTTGGATGTCATTCAGACTTCTAATTACCTTATGCTTAGTCCTAGACCAGGGATGGGTAACCTATGGCTGCTAGGCCACACGTAGCCCTGCAGTTCGGTACTACCTTTTGACTGAGTCCAAGTTTCACAGAACAAATCCTTTTATTAAGGGGATTTGTTCTGTGAAGTTTGGATTCAGTCAAAAGGCCACACTTGAGGACGTAGAGGGCCACATGTGGCCTAAAGGCTGCAGGCTCCCCACCCTGCTCTAGACTATTACAACAGACTTCTGCATCAAGTCTCTCACCATTCTAGTCTTTCCTCCATTTAACTGCCAAAATTATATTCCTAAAGCATAGGTCCAACCATATCACTTTCTACTCAAACTCCAAGAGGGAGGATCAAATATGGCTTTTAAAGCTCTTTATAACCTGGCCTCTTCCTATCTCTCCAGCCTTCATATACTTTACTCCCCTCTGTCTACTCTTTAATCTAGCAACACTGGTATTCTGGCTGTTCCTTCAAAATGACATTCCATCTCCAATTCCACGATTTTTCAATGGCTGTCCTCTAAAACTGAAATGCTCTTCTGCTTCACCTCTGCCTCTGGCTTCCTTCAAGACTCAAGATTAAATCCCACTTGCCACAAGAAGTCTTTCTTTGTTCTACCTTTTCTGGTTCAACCCCCTGCACATTACTAATGCCTTCTCTCTAGGATTATCTTCCATTTACACTGTATAAATCTTGTATGTATATAGTTGTTTGTATATCATTTTCCCTTAGGAATGTGAGCTCCTTGAGGACAGAGAGCACATTTTTGCTTTTCTTTGTGTACCCAGCATTTGAGACAATGCCTGGCACATAATAAGGGCTTTGTGATTGATTATGCCCCAACAGACTAGTAGCAGAGAACATACAGAACTGTTTAAGAACTTCCACACTATCATATAAGAAGTTTGGTGGCCTTTATTTCGGTCATGATGTCAGGAGGCAAGTTCAATTCTGTGGACTAAATGCCTGCAAGAACCCAGAGAAAAACCACTTGGGTCATCATTATCATCATCATCATCACTATTAATAGCTAGCATTGGTAACAATAGCTAGCATTTATATTGTGCTTTAAGGTTTGCAAAACATTTTACAAATATAATTTCATTCGATTCTCACAACACTAGGAGGTAAGTGCTATTACTATCCCCATTTTATAGATGAAGGAAACTGAAGCAGACAGTGATTAAGTGACTTTTTCACATAGCTAATACGTGCCCCTGAGCAGATTTGAACTTACATCTTTCTGATTCTAGGTCCAGCATTCAATCTCCTGTACTGCCCAACTGCCTCCTTTCTAATTTAGTATTCTAATTAGTGTTAGAAGAGGCTCTCAGGAAAACGGCTCTGCTATAACAAGTGCTCCATAATTAACTCCTCACTACACTCAAACAACTATTTTAACGCTAGGTTCTTCTCAAAATTTAACCTTACGCTGGGATGCCACCAAGCCACCTCCCTCAATGCCAAAGTGCAGCACCCTACAAGATTCCTGAAAGAAGAAGAATGTCTTCTCCTCTACAAATAGCAGGAAGATTTATAAAGCTTTTGGCAGTACTAGTTCTTCCACTGACAGGAGGAGATCTGGTAAGTTTAGAGTAGGGACCCCCTATGACAGTCTGGTAAAGTCTATATACTCCTCGGAATAATCTTTTTAAATGCATAAAAGACAGGACTATAAAGAAAAGCAATTATTTTGAAACAAAGTTGTAATTTTTCACCCATCAAAGTTCACAGGTTTCCTGAAATTTATTCAGACTCCCAACAGGAAGGGTTAAGAGGTTAAGAGTCAGACAACACAGAAATCTTGAGGGAGATAAGTTGAATAAGTTTTCTTTACCTACATCAACTCCTAACACCTAGTACTATATCCTGGCAGCCTCAAACCCTGACCATTCCCCCTGCCAGGTTCCTCTCAAACATTGTTCATTGTCCATTTCAGGTTTTGAGGTTTTGTTCTGTTTTTCCAAGTTCTTTTAACACTGACCTGTACTTCTGGCTTCTTCCAGCTCACTCATTGGTTCTCCTGATTCTTGATATTGGCTTCTCATACCCAACTGCCACTGTGCTGGGACTCCTGTTACTCTACTCCCTTGTCCTCAAGCAAGAGAAAGTTTAATCAGCATATGCTATGTCCAGTGACAGTCCTTGTTAGACAACCAGACTGGGCTTCAGGCAAGGGCAATGCCGAATAGATCAGTACAAACAGGATTTTAATAGAGAAGTATATGAGAATATATAAGGAGGAAAATTAAAGATTAGACACAGTATTGCCTCAAAATAGGGAGAAACAATTAAAAGGGAAAATAACCCTGTAGAAAATTTTGTGAAGCCAAGCCATATTATTCTAAGACTATTTGTAAACAAAAGCAGGCCAAGAAGGATAAATGGAACAGACATGGAAGCATTTTTATAATTTTCTGTCATTGGCATTAATAACAGAATGACCACATTTGGGCTCTTTCACTGCTATGTTATACATACTATACTTGAGATGTAGCAAAAAAAAAAAAATGCCTGGCTCTGACCAAGTACAAACAGAAGAAATCTTTATTTGGATCTGATACATTTTAAAGCTCCTCAATCTCATAATTTCTAAAAAGAAGATCAAAAAAGAATGGAAAAAAATATCACAAAGCAATGCTTTAAAAAAAAAAGTAACGAAGACTACAATGGCATTTCCCACCCTGGACTCAATAAAAGATTTCAAAGGGGATGGTTCTAAGCCAGATACTTAAGCAACTGGGCATCAGGAAAAGTATCCTAGCAGTTGATGAGATGAGCAGCAACAAGCACTGGAACTGGGTAATATAATCAAATGGCATGAACTTCAAAGAAAAAGAGTTTGTTGAGTGATAGTGGGAAAGAATGAATTTAAAAGCAGAGAAAAAGAAGTATATTTATTCCTTGAGAGACAGTAGCAAAGATATGATATCTTCAGGGGGGGAAATGGGAGTGATAATAAGGCAAAGGGATTTTTGCCTAAATAAGAAAGTCAAGAATGACAGGGATTAATAGAGGGAAGTTGGGTAGGGGGGCTACCAAGGAAGCACAAGCTTGCAGAATAAATCAGCCCCAAGGTTCTAAATAAACAGTGGTGTTAATTAGGCTTTCACAGATCCCATTGTCATATGAATACTACCAGCTCCATTTAAACAGTGAAGGTTTGCAGGTTATGGAAATTCAGAGGCTTGGGGTTAGGAGAGGAGGGGAGTACCTTAAAACAAATAAGACACAAGTAGTGATCAGAAAAAAATAAAATACATTCTCACAAAATGCTCAATTGCAAGAGTATTTAACTTAAGCAATTTTAATTTTTGATGAATACAGTATATCTGATAAAGTATACATTGCACATTTTCCTGTAGTCTTATGAGGAGAGGGGTTTTCCCTTTTCTCTAAAGCTAACCCTTCTTACCCACGCTTTTTATCTTTTTCCAATCACTTCTTCATTCAGAATTTTCATTCCCTACCTCTTCCACTAGATTCTTTGCTTCTCATACAGGTTTTTCCTTCCTAGGTTGGCCCTGCTGCTAACTCTAGTCATCATCCTATTTCTCTTTTGCTGCCAGTTATTAAAGTGTTCCTAGTATTCTGACAGGATAGTCTCCAAAGTTACCAGCAACTTTACTGTTACAAATGACTTTTTGTTTTTTACTCACTGCACTTTGCATCTGTTCCTCTGCCTGATTTCAACTCTGCAGAATAAGATGCCTCTCTCAAGATAATTGTTATCACTTCTAAACTCACCAACCTGTAAGCTAACTCAAGCTTTGATTGATACGTCCTGCCTCAGAGCACTGGAGGACAGAGTAGAGTAGCAAACTCCTCTCAATGCCTTCCTATATGGAGGGCAGGAAGAAACTGGAATCTCAGCTTACACTATGCTGGTCTGTCTGGTTTCAGTTCCATGCAACAAGATGTCCCAGGGCCAGGTACTCTGTTATTTCCCTCTCCACACTTTCCTGTTTCCTTTTGTGTAGTTGTCCCCTCCCTAGACTGTAAACTCCTTGAGGGCAGGGACTGCCTTTCTTTTTATTAACTGTATCACCAATGCTTAGTACACCTCAAAAGAAGAATACCAAGGATTTTGTGACTGACTAGATTAAGGAAGGAAAAATTCTGACTTCGAGGATTTGTGATTTGGAAAATGGTTTTAACAACTAAGTGACATAGAGAAGAGAGTTGGGAGGGGAAGAATAAATCTGGTATTGCACATATTAAGGGTGATCACACATCACTCAAGTAGAATTATGAAGGAAGCACTTAATAAAAGCTCATTGGATTGGATTTTTGGTCTATTCTTCCTTGATTTCATTGCTGCACTAGACATCTTGAAATTCTCCCCTTGATTTTTCTGCTATTACTAAATCACAAATTTTCTACTTCTAACACAAAAGTTCTTATCATTTTTCATGCCATGGAACACTCTGGCAGGCTAATTAAGCCTACGGACCTCTTCATAGGACAATATTTTTAAATGTATAAAATAGAATTATAAAAGAAGACAATTATATTGAAATAGTTATCAAAATATAAAGGAAGGGAAGAAAGGAGGGGGAGATTGAATGGGGGAGGGAGAGAGGAAGGGAAGAAGGAAGGAAGGAAAAAAGGAAGGACTTTCCTATTGTTAACTTCAACCCAGTTTCTGTCACACATAGATTACTGCAAAAGCTCAAATCTAGGCTCTCTTGCATCCAACCCATTCTACGTATTACTCTAAGATTAATCTCCCTTGAGAATAATTTTTTCCATAGCATTAATGTGCTCAAAAGCCCTCAATGGTACCCTATTTTTCTGACTGCCACTCCTTCAATTTTGTTCCACCTAAACTTCCTATTATTTACCAACATGTATGCTCTAGTTCTAGTCAGGCCAACTTCCTCATTGCACAATGAACCCAATGGTCATAGTACAGAATAAAAGCAGGAATGGGTAAAGGATAAAAAAAAAGAAGACCCAGGGCCAGAGGAACTAAGACAAAGCTGAGTATCCAAAGAGAAAGATACAGGAACAGGTGAGGTCTGGAGGAAAAGAACATTGATTGGCAAAAGCAGACAGGGTGACTAAAATCAGATCATAAATTCAACGCGAAGGAACATGTCAGTGTTAAAAATTGGGCTCAAGAAGGATTAAAGCCATATAAAAAAGCAAAGCTCGATAGATTAGGAAGATATCAGAAATCATGGCAGACATTAAATACAGAATTCAGGGAAACAGCTTAGGCAACTGTGAGTCAGAAAACTGAGGCAGAAGACATTCAAGAACCTAGGAAAGGAGACGAGTTGGTGCACAATCAACAAGCAGGATGATACTGATGCTAATGATCTCTTACTTGCCTTTTCTCGATCAACTCCTTCTGGACCACACTTCAGTCTCACCGGATAACTTCTCTTTGTAGGTTTTCAAGTCACTATTCTTCTCCTGACTCTACTCCTACCTGTGTAACTCTAGTCTCTCTTGTTGGCTCGCATCCAAGTCATGCCTATTAATTATGAGTATCTCCAAAGATTCTATCCTGGCACCTCTTCTTTTCTCCTTTGCCATCTGTATTATGCTCGTTAGCTGTCATGGGTTTAATCATCATTTCTATGCACAAGACTGTCAGATCTATATATCCTACCCTAACCTCTCTCTTGCTTTCCAAGTCTGGCATTACTGTCTTCTGGAAATCTCAAACAATATGCTAAACCAGAATTCAATGTCTTTCTCCCCAAGTCCTTCCCTCTCCCTAACTTTCCTATTTGAGGGTACCACTGTCCTTTCTCAGTCAACTAGGCTCACAGCCTTGGGCCTTGCTGTCATCCTTGACTTTTCATTTATACTCACTGTACATACCTAATCAGCTGTCATCTTTTTTGTTTCAACCTTCACAACATCTCTTATATTTGTCCCCCTCTTCCCATTCACATAACTGCCACCACAATGCAGGTCCTCATCACTTCAAAGTTATTGTAATAGCATTCTGGTTAGTCTCACAGTCTCAATCCACAAGGTGGTAGTAGCTGATCTCCATGCCTACAATGCTTTCCCCTCCTCATCTTAACCTTGGTTTCCTTCAAAACTCCTACTTTCTGAAAGAGGCCATTCTCAGTTCCTCCCATTACTAGTGCATTTCTTCAGAACTGCCTTCCATTTAAACTATATATAGTCTTGATGTACACAATTCTTTGCATGTTGTCTCCCCCATTAGAAATATGAGCCCTTTAGGTATGATGTTTTGCCTTTGTATCCCCTGTACTTAGCATAGTTCCTGGCACACAGCAAGCACTTAATAAATGCTTTCTGACTGACCAATACTGAGGCATTCTTATACCTCAGGCCTTTAAATTTTATTGAAGCAAAAATAAATATCATCACAATTAGTCTAGTCCTTTCAAGGAAGCAGTTGGCAACTCAGGGTATTATGAAAGAAAAAACTATTTATGGCATACAAACTTTGAAACAAATTTCTTTTTGACCCCATATTTTCATTATCTGGAAATCCATATCCACTTACACTAATCTTAACTATGGATCCTTCAAAAGGCCCTGCTCACATTCCAACTCTTTCATGAAAGCCTAAATCTAACCTCACAGCTTCGTTAATTTCACTCTTCTGTGAAATTCACAGTTAGCACTTACTTATATCTAGTTCTGTATTGGTTTCTGTTTCATCGGTAGTCTCTTCTCCAAAATCAGACTGTAAGCTCCTCGAGGTAAAAACAAAAACCAAAACCAACCCCCACACACAAAACCAAGACCAAAACTAAAACTCATATGCTCAAACAAGTTAGTATGCGGCAAATATTTAATAAATATTTGATGCTCCTTCATCACACAGGGTCCCTTTTAAACACACTGAGTATTTCAACAAAAGAACAACAATAAAAAATCCTTTCCTCTCTTTTTGACTAAGTACAAAGATTTCAAGTTCCACTCTGGTATTTAAAAATATGCTACACCTAAAATCAAGGTTTTAAATAATGTAATGAGTGATGAATGGCAGGAACAGGAAAGAAATAACCCATGTAAATGCACTTCTGACATGTTATTAATCTGCTCCTGCTTCTACATATGCCAAACAAAAAAAGTATACATACTAATTAGAGTAAACTCTGCCATTCATTCTTAACATAGTTGGGGGGGGGGAGGCAAAGAAAGAAGAAAAACATCAGTACTATCAGGACATTATATATGGGTTCAGTCTTCTCAAAATTTTTGCATATGTCTTTCAGACCTCAAAGTTTTGGAAGCATTTTAACCAATGGCCCTGACTACCATTGTTACATGCTCAAGGTTCTCAACTTCACATGCCTAAAAAAGGTTTTTAAAGTTTATGTCCTGCCAACACTATTCATTTTCATTTGTCGACTTATCCATATGAAGGAGAGTAAGTTTTATTAAAATGCATGCTCTTTGAGGGCACAGGTCATCTTAATTGTTGTATATCCCTAGTGCATAGCACATCATAATTGCTTAATAAATATTTGTGGAAGTATGGAATACACAAAAGATTAAGTAAACAGGTTTGAATTTATTTATAAATGATCAACTTATTCTCTCCTGAAATGTAATGACCTGGGAAATTCATTTGGTATTTCAATGTTGAAGAAATACACACTAACCTTAAGTCAGCATGATAATTAAAGAGAAAAGCCAATATAGAAATATTTACCACCTTAAGTGTTCTGGAAAAGCTAGATCCAAAAGAAAATATGGCTGCAAAGTCCAAAAAAACTTGACATTATCAGTCCAACAAATTTCAACTACTTACCAGCCCTTGCTGCAATAAGGTGAGTTGCTTTGTTGGGATCATCTGCACTCAATATCAAATTCTTATTGATCTTAGCTCCAAGTGCTGTTGCATGATAATGTTCTCGTGTCCTTTCTATTGGATAATTTGTTGGACATACCCCACTAAATATTATGGTAACACCTGCCAACACCTTACTTTTCAGTTCTGGTACTATTTTCCGTATATCAGGTGCTTCTTGGATCTCCTTATTCAGGTATTTATCATACTTTGTGTAATAATCATTATGTACTCGAACAAGGATCTCTTCAAGGTATATGAGATGATCATCTTCATCATTATCTTCTTCTTCTTCCTCTTCTTCTTCCATGCTCTGATCTAAAGATTCACCCACTGTAATCCCAGATTGTTCACTATTCTGGGACTCTGTCTCTGCTTCTTTCTTGTCTGCACAGCCATTTCCCAGATCACAAAGGCCATCCTGTTCACTTTCTTCTGGGACTTCAAGGTCATTGCCTTTGCCATGAAGATGTACGCTAGGTCCAGACTCTGTGGAATGATTGACTTCAACCATTTTCTCCCCACTTGTATCTGCACTGTCCTGTTGTTGAGAAGTCTCTTCTTGTGTGGCTTTTGACTTCTTCCAGCTTCTCTTCTCCTCATTTTCACTATCAGATGCAGAAGAGGAAGCAGATTTGTGACCATCTAATTCACTGTTACTTTCACTGTCACTAGAGAGTTCAAAGTCCAAATCATTACCTGCATTGCTTTGGCCAGGATGTTTTTCTGATAATGTTCTATCATCCTGTTCTGAAGAAATCTGAGATTCCTTGGCAGTTATCAAATCATTAGCACTAGTAGCATCTGTTATGTGATCAGTGGTACCATGGAAGGAATGTCTCTCATTTATTTTATCACTAGAATTTAAACACCATTTGGAGGACTCACTGTGTACAACCTTACTACCATTCAATTCCTTTGTGGATTTCCCAAGGCCATTACTCTGTTCTTCTATAGAAGAAATGTTCTTTCCATCTTCAGCATCTTTCAGGGATGTGGTTTGTTCTGAGATTTCAGCTGTTTTAGAAGAATGATTGACTGTATATGTATATAAAAGGGGAAAAAGTTCCCATAATTAAAAAAGGCCATAATAATTACTTTAAAGCAACTTCCCTTCCCATCCTAATTCGCCCACTCAAATACTATATATTTAATAAAAGAGTTAGGTGATGATCTCTTATCATTTAAGTTGTTATAGTCATTCAACTTATCCCAGAACTTCAGTTAGGCACTCTGAAAATTGCATTAAAGAACAGTACTAAGATATAATGTAACATAAGTTACTGTTGCAGTATACAACAAGTTATGTGAACAGAATAAAAGCAAAAGATTTAAGCATTCAAAATTCTTAACTTGTCTTACGGTGAGTAAGGAATGTACTAATCATATTTTCAATGATGAATTTTTTTTTCCAAAGAAAGCTTGGCTCACAGTTCAGTTCTTTTAGTTCTTTTTTTTTTTTTAAAGCAATTAGGGTTAAGTGACTAGCCAGGGTCACACAGCTAGTAAGTGTCAAGTGTTTGGTCTGCAGCCACATTTGAACTCAGGTCCTTCTGACTTCAGGGCCAGTGCTCTATCGACTGCGCCACCCAGCTGCCCCTTTTTAGTTCTTACTGTGGAATTAGGTTAGAGGTTCTGATTACTCAAATTTCTTAGAAAAGGGTCCAAAGATGTACCTCCCTTGTTCCAAACTTAAATCTACAGCCAACAGAAACAGCTAATTTTCTGGAATAATTCTACTTTGAATATGAAGATACAAACATAGTGCCTTTTAAGGAGTAGCAATACATCAGCAAATCAAGGATCTGGTGTGCATTGACTGACGCTGAACACAATCCATCTATAACTTCATAGATAAAGGCTTAAAAAGGTCTGAAACTCAGCACAGTTAAGTGATTTGTTCATGGTCAAAATGCAAGTAAATGTTAGAGTACAGATGGAACCTAGGTCTTTCTGACTCCAAATCTAGCACTCTCCTCACTCTGCCATACTATTTCTCTCCTTAAGAAACACTGGGGACAAATCTCTATACCAGAGAAAAATGACAGTACTCTTTTTTTCCCCCTCAAATGTGAACTACTAGTAGAAAACAAAGCAGAATTAAACAATACCAATTTAACTACAAATCTTTCTCTAATACCATAAAAAAAGTTCTGAATTTTCTATCATCTAAAGTAGATACATAAATAGCACATAAGTATATAGAATTATAAAGCAAAATGTTAACTTGCAAATTTTTTGAGAAATGTCAATTGTTACCCACCTTTCTTTTTCGTTTGAGTTTCCCTGGATCCAGGGGGTGCATTAATATCTCCTATGCCCTGAAAGTATACATATTTCTTTACAGTTATCAAATTGGGCGCAAACTTCCAGACATCTTCTCGGTCATCAATAATGCAAACCATTGAATCTCCACACGGGAAAAGATTTCTAAAAGGAAAAATGTGTCTGAGTACTATTAGCACAATTTTAAAAAAATCTATTGGGTTGACATTTGGATTAATCTTTTATTTTTGGTCAACAAGGAGGTTTCTCCTGCTGCACTTCTCTCCATATATATATACACATAGATGTATATATACTATTGAGATGGCTGAGAAGCAATACTATGAATAAACAGTCCCTTTCTGAATAATTTACCAATCTCTCACCAAAAAGCCTTCTTTTCAGTTCTTTATAAAAGAACCAATGCAAATTTTCCAATCTCCTTAAATTCTTTTTTGAAAATATGAAAATTACATTTTCTCCCAATGCTTTTGGACTTCTAAGAAAGGTAAGAGATTCTAGTTACATATAAGACATTGCCTTCCTTTAAAAAAAAGTGATAGGTCATCTTTTCTCTAACTGTGTTCATGTTTGTATTGGAAGTTTGCCAATCTTAAAACAGGCATTCAAATCTGATCAGCACAATGACAAACCACAATGCCAGAAGACCCATAATGAAACAAGCTACTCATCTCCTGAAGATAACAGACTCAGGGTACAAAGAGACATATTCAATGCAGGAATTAGCTTTGCTCAACTATGCATATTTGTTACAAGGGTTTTCTTTTTTCTTTTTCAATGGGGGAGGGGAAAAATTGGGAGGGAGAGAAAATATTTTTGTTTACTTAAAAATTAATTTAATTCTTAAAACAAGCATTCAAACATTAATCAGAACATGTCTATATAAGAGTATACATTTACAATAGATATTAATGAATACAGAATTTAGCTTTTAACTGCAGTGCTAACTTAGCAACTCTGATACAGAACACATCTCTTCTCCCTCTTCATATCCCTAGTTCCAATAACTTTTGGCTTCTGACACAAGGTAAACTAAGTTTTAGAAGAATGGATATGAAGCAGTACTTGGCCAGAATGATGTAGAAGTAGGCTGAGTAATTCCAACCACAAGATCAGTAAGCCAGCACTAAATTTTCTAGTTTACCCAACTTCTCCCCATATTTCCTTCTTCAAAATAAAGAGTGAGCATGGAAAAATAATGGGAGAAATGCCCAACAGCTCTAGGTCTATATGACTCTACTTTTCTGATTCTCATTTGGCACATTTTAAGAGCAACAACCAGGGTAAAACAGATCTTTGAAGATCCTAAAGTCGTTTAAACATATAAAGGCTGGGGGACAAGTGGAGAGAGGAGAATGAATGGTGTAATTCAGCTAGCTATTTTTCTTGAGGGAAAGAGGGGGAAAAAAAAGGTACTTGATATTAGGGAATTTAGGGGAAAATTAGTGAAAAACTGGCCACTTTTTGCATGGAGGCGGCAGTGCTTGTTCATACCCAGGTGTATCTATGCTGTCTCCCTCTCATGTTAACCTCTAAAATGTTCTCTTCTCTCATCCCCATAGCAATTCTTTTAACGAGGAAGTGAAGTGATTAAGATTTTATGTACCACCTACTATGTGCCGAATGCAGTGCTGAGTGCTTTACAAATACCATTTTATCCTTATTACCACAACTCTGTGAGGCAGGTGCTGTAATTATCCTCATTTTACAGTTAAGGAAACTGAGGCAAACAAAGGTTAAGTGATTGGCCCAGGGTTATGTAGCTGGTATGTGAGGCCAGATTTGAACAGTGACTAACACATAGTAGGCACTTACTGAATGTTTATTAATTGACTCCAGGAGAACTTCCTACTGAGAAGGAAAGATGTCACTGAAATAAATGGGCACTAACTACAGAATCCATTCTAAGATCATTTAGAATTTTTTCTCTCTAACAAATTAGAGGGAATTTTTAATCTATTTTATATATGTAACCTGTCCTTCCAAGTTTCCAGACTACAATACCATAATGCAGATAAAGTCTTACCTTGGAACTTCCCTCATTGCCTGGGTTCTTCTCATACTGGATTTGTCCTCCTTCATTTTAAATAGAGACCCAGGCTGGCCAACCTTCATTCTCTCTTGGCTATCCTTCTGACTTTCCAAACATCAACACCATACCCTGTCTGACCACCTTCATCTTCTACCCTTGCCACACTTTTCAGCTCCCTTTTGTATGTGGTCTTCTTTCATTAGAATGCAAGCCCCTTGAGGGCAGGAACTTTCTTTTTGCTAGTATTTGTATTTCCAATACTTTGCATAGTGCCTAGAATATAGTAAGGGCTTAATAAATGCTTGTTGCCTTGTCTATTTTCTTAATGTAAAATAGGGAAGCTTATCTAAGGGTGACTTATCTGTAAATCAAGGCAAGACAAGGGGATAAACATCAACATTATCCATAAGGTTCTGCCTAATATCAACATTTAAGGTAAAAACAAGAAACTTCGGATGAGGGTACAAAGATTATTTTTTGAGACAAAACCTCAAATACCTTTTAGGGAATAAGTAGCATTTCCTAGAATAAAAAAAAATAAAAACCAATTTCTGTTCAAACAGAAAGGAAAACTCTCGTAGGAAACATGGATAAGTAGGCAGGATCAAATAGAAGCAGGAGTAAACTCAAGGCATAGAAAAAAAATAAAGAGATGGATTTGGGATGAAGGAGTCGATAATGTAACTGATGATTTTGTAAGCCACTGCTAGGTTAACATATCGGTTCCTTAGAAAATGAAAATCATAAAGCTTAGCTATAAATATCATAGAAAACTTAAAATCCGTGCCTTAGCAAAATGGCTTTACTCATATATTTAGGGTCAAGTTTGTAGGGTTTATACCCGTCCAGACTCTCAGTCCTTTCCTTTTTCTACAAGCTGTTCCTCTTCTGCTTCTATTCTTTAGTGCCTATTCCCATCACTTAATATCCCCCTCCCCTGCTTCAATGTTCCCTTAAAACTACACTGTTCTTTACTCTCTCAAATCTGAACCTCACATCTTAGTCTTCATGTATCATCCACCTGCACTGTTCATAGGACTTTATGCTGGGCACATTACAGAAAAAAAATGAAAATAAATATTCTCAGAATTGGGAATATGAATTACAACACACAGAAATCTACATATCTTGCCCTTTTAGGAAAAAAATTCCACAGAACTGCACAAACATTGCAATGAGCTGTCACTCATGACCACCACCCCACCACTACCTTTGAATGTTGATTTAAGCAGAGGGGCCTTTGGGAAAAGACAAAAAGGAAGGAAAAAAGCAAAAGACAAAAGCTAAAGGATGTTTTGAAATATGGAATAATTCACTTAAGTAATGTTTAAGGTTTACAAAGCACTTTACCACCAATTTTCAGATGAAATAGGTAGTATTATTAGGTCCATTTTACAGATGAGGAAATTGAAAGCACAAAGATTTGAACCAGAAAAAGAATCCACCACAACAAGAGTACCATGGCTAAGTACTAACAGCAAGAATAATTAAGATTTTTTTCCCCCATCAGAATACAAAGTTGTTACTTGTTTTTCAAAATTAAATAAACTTTAATAAATGAACGAGAGGGGAGGAATTAAATGGATCCATAACCTATATTTCTTAAAATGCAAATTTTACAGTGGCAACCAAAAACTGTTCTGTTCTCAGAGAAAAAAATAAACTGTAATGTGATGACTATAACTGTGCACATACAATCATATACATACCTAAGGTTTCCCGTTTTAGAAAATGGGTCAATACACTCATCTCTTGATAATATTCGATGAGAAAAAAGCTTCTTTTCAGGGTCTAAAAAACCTTTTTAAAGAAAAAAAGCCGAAGTTAAAGTATTTCTAAATTTCATTTTATGCAGTATTTTGCATAGGCTAAAACCTTCTAAATTTCCTTTGTAATGTCACAGACAAAAAGCATTATGGTGGAAAGAAATAACATGTGCTTTCAGATAAAACTGTCACTAAACAGGGTTTTCATTTTTCAGGTTTTAACACACACACACACACACACACACACACACACACACACACACACACCCACACCCCTGTATTCTATTAGAGGAGACAATAAGGACATGTGTAAATATATATATATATAAAAATATACAAGACATACACAAAATAAGTACAAGTTAATTACAAGGGAGAGAGAATCTGAAAAGGCTTTAATGCAGAAGACAGTGTCTGAGCAGCATCTTAAATGGAGAGACTCTAAGAGGCAGAAGAAAGGGGAGAATGCATTGCAGGCCTGGGAGTGCAAAGGAATTTTATGAATTAAATCCATGGTGGGTGATGAATTCACCAAGGGAGAAAGAGGAGAGGTCAGGACAGAACTCAATTTCCTTATTTATATCAATCAACCAACAATCTTATATTAAGTACCTGTACTTAATATACTGGGCACTAGGAATACAAAACAAAAATGAAACAGCCCCTGTCCTCAAATGGCTTCCACTCTACAGAGGATGGCAACATATGTACATGTAATTATATACTAAATTAATACCAAACAGCTTGGGTGGGGAAGCACTAGTGGCTGAGGGGATCAGGAAAAGCATCATATAGATAGCGGTGTTTGAGCTCAGCTTTCAAGGAAACTAGGGATTCTGAGAAGAGGCGATAAGGAGGGAATATATTACAGGAATGAAGCAAAGTCTGTGCTAACAACCAGAGATAGGAGATGGAATGTCAATCTGTAAGGAACATCTAGATGAATAAAGTTTCTTCCGACTTTAAATCTAAGACTCTGTGTTCCTCCTAAAGATATACCTAGAATGCTTCATCGTAGCATGGAGGTAAGACTGACTTCTTGAAGGTTATGTGCCAATACAGCACAAGCACTGGCAGGCCTTCCCACTGTCACAGGATTAAGAGTATGGACCCAGCAACAGAATGTGCCTGCTCCCAAAGACCAGCCTAGCTCAGCTTACAGGTCACCTGGCTGGCCAAACATGGAGGCTAACCTTTTGGGCCACAGAAAATCAAAATGGCTGCCTACTTCAGCATGTGATGATAAAACTACATCAGTGATGGAAATTACCATAGGAATGAAATGAAGGTTCTTTAGAAGTTTTATACTGTTAAGTTATCATGGTAATTAGATGGAAGATAGAGAATTTAAATGGATGCTATACTATTAATATAACAAATATTTTAAATTATAAACATTTAAAAGAAACGTTATTTATTTCATTGTATTACATAGCATATCTATCACTTTATAATAGGTCTTTATTGCTATTTTTTATTATGCCAAAAAAAAGTAACTGGTAATATAATTACTCAGTTTAGTAGGTAATCAGGAAAACATGAGCTGTCTACATGGTATAATCTCATTCTTATAAGATGTTTTTAAAAGGAACACTTCAGTATTGCCATTTTATTTAACTTTACAATTTTTATCACTATCATATATTACCTTGACAAAGCCCTACAAAAATCAAGTTAATGCAAAGAAACTCTATATTAAAAAGTGAGAGGCCAGAGATAAGGAATGGGTCTGTGACTTCATGATCTAGGGAACCCTAGGGTGAGGAAATTCTCCTTACCAATGCAGGTCAGCATTTTCTCTGCAGCTTATAATCTTAGCAAGTTACTCTTTAGCATGAAACCTTTAATTTTATTACACAGCTAGTCAAGAAAAATAATTCTTATAAATACATTCATTTATTGGCTCATGTAGAGTACAATTTTCCCGAAATAGTTGAGTGTAACTATACGCAACATGTTCTTTCATGTTATACAATAACATTTTACTTTTCACATTTGTTTAAGAGAAAACATTTGTTTTCCTCAGGTGCTTGAGCTAAATGCCCATCTAATAGAAACAATCTATCAAGGACAATTTTCATAAATGTATTTTACATTTGAGAAAGAATCATGCTAGAATCAATCTATGGCATAAAATGAGCTCTGAGTTACTGTATTAGTTTTTTGCTTTATAAACTCAATTCACTTCTACTGTTCTAATTAGGATTTACACATTTAGTCATAAGTTTATTTTATTTAATTCTAGGAAGCAAGTTAGCTACGACGTACAAAGAAATTAAGTTGTCACTTTTTATATTAGTTGTAAGAAAAACTGATACAATGGACATAGGTATAATAAAAAAAGTAGGAGAAAAAATGTGTTTTTACAAAAACAAAAAAAAACACCAAAAAAAAGAAAAAAATATATATACACACATATAGTTCTTCCTGAAAAAAATCTGTTACAAGATTATATTTGAAGCATAAAATTCAATAACAAGTCAATTTCATTGGACCAATGAATGGCAAAATGTTTGGTTAGAAAATATACTAAAATAAATATTTTAATTGGAAACAGGAAAACATGTACATGAAATAGGTGTTCATAATTAAGATTTGCGTGAGATATAAAATAAAAGTAGTTTCTCTAATTGCACAATTAATTTTTTTCAAACTTACCTGCCCTAGAACACAAGCAACATTCTAAATTATCTTTCCCCCTGGTTTTTCCCTAAAAGCTCCCAGTACATATGAAGAGTTACGAAAGTAATTTCTTTACTCAGCTACTATAGCTTGAATGATAGAGTAAGATGATTTCTTTTCACTCAGCAGCTCAATAGAACTGACAGTTCCCAAAGATTTCAATTTATGATACGCTGTCAATATTTTCACAAGCAGAATTACCTTATACAATACAAAAATAAATTTATGCTTTTTCATAAATTATTTCACTTGTGCCTCACAAGAACCCTGTGAAGTAGGCAGGTCAGGTATGAGCCCCATTATAAAGATGAGGAAATTTAGGCTCAATGATATTAACTTGCCCAAGGTAACACTGCTAATGGCAGAGCTGGGACTCAAACTCAGGCTGTCCAACTTGTATTCTAAAACTCTTTATCATGGGGCAGCTAGGTGGCACAGTGGATAGAGCTCTGGCCTTGGAGTCAAGAGGACCTGAGTTCAAATCCAGCCTCAGACACTTGATGCTTACTAACTGTGTGACCCCGGCAAATCACTTAACCCCAACTGCCTCACCAAAAAGCAAAACAAACAAACAAAAAGAAAAAAAATGTTTATAAAACTCTTTATCATGTTGCCCCTCTGATTTCATCATAATTCAGACTTTAAAGACAAAACAAAAAAGTCTCCACTGACTGAAACCATATCCTTTACCTTATTTCATTAACCGTGTCACTACTGAAAGCTAAAGAACTTTCATAAATGAATGTGTAGTATACAGATTAACCTAAGATTACATTACATTTGCAATACAGCAGAATGAATAAAGCATTGATTTGGTATCAAAGGACCTGGGTGTAAATCTGTAACCTTGGGAATGTCACCTAGCCTCTTTGAGCCTCTTTATTTGTAAAATGAAGGGGTTGGACTAGAGGTCTTCTTTTAGACTCAATTCAATCTATGATCCTATCAGATTTTACTCAATTTTACACATTAACTCAACTATATTTTCTAAGAAATTACTTTCACAGTGTGGTGCAGTAAATGCAATATTGGAGTTAAGAGTCAGAAAGACAGGGTCAAATTCTAGCACTAATATACACTTGCTGTGTGTTCCTGGGTAAATCAACTAACCTCTCTGAGCCTCTTCTTCATCTATGAAATGAGGATAATACTGACAAAATCTATTCTTCATAGGGTTGTTGGGAAGATCAAATAAGAATGTCTATAAAGTGCTTTGTAAAACTTAAAAGTACTAAATAAAAGTCAGCTATTATTATACAGGGAAATCTAAAAACACTTCCAAATTATAATTCAATTGTTCATACTAAAAATGTAAAAAGACAGGAGCTAGTTCTACTTAAAACTAAATAAAGAGAAATGATATTTTTTTTTGGTTGTCATCTCTACAATCTGGCTCAAATCCAGCTCAGCCATAAGGGTATTTATCTTTGGGATTCAATTCCACTCAAAGACCTCCGAAGGTGGTCCAGCCTAGACCTTAGAATTCACCTGGCCTCCTGAGGCTGTCCAGGCTGTGAGTATTCCAATCTAGAATGACTTAAGAATTAACAGGCTAGAATTCAATAACCTTTCAAAGGATGGGAAAGGGGAGAGTCAGGGAAGAAGGGAGGGGAAGGGGGCAAGAGACTACCTGATACTTCATTGGGCTCTTTACCAGCTCATCATGTAGGAAAAGTAATAAGTTAACATTCCACTGAAAGACAATGTTTGCTTTTTAAAGAGGAGATCAAGTTTTCTGGGTTTTTTTGCACTATAATCAAGAAATAGGTATTACATTGTAAGAGCAAATGAGCCACCCAGTGGCTAAACTTTAAATAAAGCTTTAAATGAATAAAAGGTCTAGTTGTCAAGTTCTCAACATTTCTAAAATAAAAGGTACATGGTTCCATATGCTTTATCACAATCTCAGGTTTAGAAGTAGCTTAGGTGGCTATGTAGTCCAACCAATACCAGACCTATTATTTTCCTAAAAGGGTCATTCTTCCATCAGTAAATTCTAATATCTCTGTTAGTTTGATGATCAAATATAAACTCTTGTTCTCAACCCTACCTCTTGGAATTTCTAGTCTCCTTCAAAACTCAGCTCAGGTAACACCTGTTACATTAAGTCTTTTTTGGCACAACTAATAATGCCTTCTTAACCTCTACTCCCTCCTAGGTTATCTCAAATCTGTCTTGTAGAGCTTTTTTATAAACACCTACATACATGCATACCCTATTAGAATATGAAGGCAGGAACTGTCTCATTTTATCTTAGTATCTCCAGAACCTAACTTACCCCTCAAAGGATATTCAGGTATTGGTTGGACTTGATGGCCCAACAGGTCACTTCAAAGCTAAGATTCTGTGGCATTTCATATATAACCACGTTCCTTTTACTCCAGAATTGTTGAGAACTTCAGTGCCTAAGCAAATGTCCTTCAATTTTTACACATTTTTATGGCTTTTTAAAAGTTTAGCCAATAGACAACTCATCTGCTCTTATAGTAGAGTTTCTTGATTAAAGTGCAAAAAAAATCTCTTCTTTAAAAGCAAATATTTTCTATCAGTGAATGTTAACTCATTACTTCTCCCAAGTGATGAACTGATAAAGAGTCTAATGAATGTATCTAGCAGTATCTTGCTTACCATACCCCTCTCACCTCAACCTTGGCAAAACTACTAAACTCTGGCCTGTTAATTCTTAAGTCATTCCCAGAGTAGAATACTCACAGCCTGGACAGCCCCTGGAGGCCAGCTGAGTTCTAGGGTCTAGGCTGGGCAACCTTAGGAGATCTGGAGTAGAATTGGATCCCAAAGATAAATACTCTTGTGGCTAAGCTAAATTTGAGCCTTCAAAATAAGAGTCATAAATATATTAAGAGTTGGACTAAAATAAACTCAATCATAAAAAGGCTTGGAATACTCTAAAACTATTTTCTTTTTTTTTTAAAGCAAACCACTTAAATTAAGACTTTTTCTACAAAACTAGAAGACATCCTGTAAGTTATAATATAAAGCACTCAACGGGAAAAACAATTACCAAATTCTGAATCAAGGTTTTGTTTACAGTTCTATGTTAAACAATAATTTTAATCTTTTGCCTTGAATGCTACAAGTTGGATTAGGGAAAGGCATCTATCAAGAGCTCTGTGTAGTCCCCTTCTTGAACCTTATAAAATAGACATATTTAATGATCCTTCTGGAACAGATGAATGCCTTTTAACTTTGACCTCAATTCCATACAATGAACTAAAATAAAAAATATTTTCTCATAAATCATTTCTACGACCAACACTGCCATCAAGTGTTCAGCACTGCTAAAGCTAAAGTAACTTTTATTTTACATGTCCCATAAGGTGACTAAAAAATACAATCCCAAATGACACTTGCCTAAGCAATCACAAGAGAATATAAAATATTCAGTGTTAGCACTGACCAACCCAGTGGCCTGCCTGGTATCAAGTAAAACAGGCTTATTTCACAGAAGGAAGTATTACTTAAGTGTTCATTATAGGTTAAAACAAAACAAAACAAAACCCTGCCAAAATGTCCTTCAGTCTATTTCTAAAATTATTTCCAACTAAGGAAAATAGACAAACATATTTCTACACTCAAGATTGCTACCCTGCCAGGGTCATTGTGAATAAACCAGACTGTGGTCCCAAGGTTTGGGACCAGGAATGGTCCCCTTCTGACCAGGAATATAGGCATTCCGACCAAAAATACAGCGAGTGGTAACTGTGTTAACAGCAAAAGTAGCTATTCCAACCTGAGACTGACGCTCACGTTATACAAGGTGTCCCAAAAGTCTTTGTGCAGTCTTCATCTTTAAACTTTAAGAGTTTAATACTACATAAAGATTTTTGGGACATCCTGGATCTAACTGGAAGCTGAGTGCTGTGACTGAAAATAACATATAATACAAGAGAGTAAGGGATTTGCTGGCCTCCTTAGCCACTATGATTATTTATCGTAAGTATTAAACCAAGACAGTTCAAGAAAGGTAAAAAAATGCTTTAGCTTTGATTTACTGACTCAATCCTTATAGAACTCGGGGCTATTCTTCTACAGTATTTGAAGAATGATAATAAATCAAGATACTGCATAATGTAATACAAAGAGCAATGGATTTGCCATCAAATACTTAGGTTCAAATCTCAGCTCTGATATTGTGACCTTGGGTGTGTTACTACCACTGCCTAGCCCTCAGTTTCCCTGTATGTAAAATTAGGGGGCTGGACTAAGAAGCATTCAAGTTCCTGCTAGCCTTAATTCCTATGCTCTGCATCCTAGTTAAAGGTATTAAAATAAAAATAATAGTCACATTATGTCAAATTAAGCAAAATGTTTCACAGCTTTTTAATCACACTGCTTACCTGCAATGGTATGTGCATAAAGCCGGCTACCAAAGGTGAAAACATGCAATTCATACAGTTTGGCAATCTTTTCTAGGAATTCCTTGCAATGAGGACGTAATCGAGTATGTAGCACAGGTTCACGTCGGCCTAACTGAAAATGAAGTATACCCTAGGAGGAAAGAAGAAAAACTGGTGAAAGAACAAATCATGGGAGAGTAATAACCTATCATCATTAAATTTTCTTTCAGTCTTGTTAGGGACAATACCTTTCAAATGTTGCTTGAGTTGGATCCTGTTTGTTCTTAATGGAATATAATGTTAGAACTTCTAAATTATTGGTTACAGTGGACCAAATTATCAGCCCACTACTATTTATTAGTTGCCCATGATATGTTTAAAAGAGTCTTTATAAATAGTTTCAAAAATAAGCATCATAAATAGTAAGCAGGTATCATGCCAAAATATCTGCTAAGCATGCATCTCATATAACAATTTGCTCTGCTTTTGAGCTCTCCCCTTTCCCTTCTTCAGATATACAAAGATGTGATTTTTTAAGTTCCAGAATTTTTAATCCCTATTACTGTTTTGTATAATGGTGAAGATAAGTTCCCTAAAAGATTTCATATAAAAGTAATTGCCTTCTTCATATTGTAGTTATTTCAAAACAGAAGACCCAATTCATGTGATACTTGAATAAACTGATGAATGTTAATTACAAAGCTACTGAAAAACAAAATGAGAGGCAGTTGTAATGGCTATACATACATAGAATGTTTGGGGGTTTTTTTGGATGAAAAGTTCTTAGGACACAAATAGGTACGGTAAACTTTACAGAGAAGGCTTAATTTATTAAAGTTTGCATTGTAAAAATTTTTTTTAAGGAAATGCAGTTTTAATTTTAAAAAAAAACGTAAAGCATCCAGAAAGAGGTCTTACAAGGTCAGCTTTAAAATGTATTTAAGACTTATTTGTGACTAGCATTATTATCATGCTTTCATATAAATTATTAATGTTAATAGTTCTCCAAAGTTAAGTAGAATTGTTATCCACAATTCAGTTCATGATATTAACTTATTCATTATAATTGAAACTGGGCAAACTTCAGCCCAGACCAATTCAAATAATTATAAACTAGGCCTATGAAATCTATAAAGACTTAATAGTGTGAAATTAAGCAACTTTTACTTTATCTAGTTTTTTCCCCCCCCAAAAAACAACCCTTTAAAAACCCTTAGAAATATAACTGTGCTAGTTTGTGATATGTACATAGCTTTGTTATTTTAAAACTACTGCTGCCTACTAAGGGCAAACAATTTCATTGCTGGCCATTTAACTAGAGATATCATTATTTTCCTGGGAAACTCTATTGATTGTTATCAACTTTAAGAGTATTCTTGCACCTACTTATTCCTAAATTTGTCTTGGATTAAAACACAGGTCTCCAAATGTTACAACCATCTTGAATGCTTTAATTTAAAAAAAACTCCAAAATATAACAAACACAAGTCGTTTTTACAGAGTGGATTAAGCAACTACAAATTAACATACTCCTCTTCCTCCAACACACTTTTTCACATATCTCTTCCCAGATTAAATCCACTTTAAAATGTCAATGACAACAGGACAAATTCCAAATTCAGAATTATAATCTCAGCATTGACCACAGATTCCACTTTGTGAGTGACCTGCTACAACAATGTTCCCCAAACATGGTGATTGAGCCTTCAATCAAAGACCTCTAGTGAAGGAGGACCAATTGCCATCAGCGGCAGCACTGTATACTACCACTCAAAAAGCCATTATTAGGAAGCTTTTCTGTATTTCAAGCCAAAATCTACTTCTACCATTTCTACCAATTTTTCCCATTTTTGCCCTTATTAGGCATGACCTTAAAGGTTCTCTACCTCCAAACTACCTCTCCAGGACTCATTCTCTCTACTCATCTACAACAACCCTCTGCTTCAGCCAGACTGGTGTGCTCATGGTCCCATAAACTAGCTACTGAGCATCCCTACCTTCTTAGTTTCATTCATGACTTTCCCTGTCTTCCTTAAATACAGTAGTGTCAAACTTAAATAGAAACAGAGGCCACTTATTAACTTAGTATTAAAATGTAATGTTATCTGTGATTTGTTGCATTTTTATTTATTGTGTTAAATATTTCCCAATTACATTTTAATTTGGTTCAAGCTACATGCAGGAGTGATGTGGCCACATCTGGGGCTAGGTGTTTGACCTCTCTGCTTTAACCTATCTTAATCCTACTATCCATCAAGGCCCAGATCAAATAGTACCTCTCTGAATCTCTCTTTGACCAAGCTAATTCACAATGACTCCTTTTTCCTTGAAATCTTTATTTCACTTACTGTTACAGTGCCATGTTAATTATTCTTAAATGTATCCTACCTTCAGTTTGCATGCCATCTTCAGGAGTAGGGAGGAGAAGGAGAGGGACAAAATTTTAAACTCAAAATCTTATGGAAGTGAATGTTAAAAACTAAAAATAAATTATCTTTAAAAATGTGTCTTATCTTGTCTCTTCAATCAGACTACAAAAGCTCCTTAAGATAAAGACTCTATCATAAGCATCTTGATATCCCAAATTAACACCAAGAATACATTATACATGGTAGTCATGGGAAAAAAAGTGAAAAAAGTGTTACTTGACCAAATTTAAAGGTAAGATGAATTCTCTTATCTTTAGTACAGTCAAGTCACTGCAGTGATAATACAATATAAATCTATTCCAATAAACTAGAAGGTTCTGGATGCACTGAAATCCAACCAGATACACTCCCTGCCTTGAAAATATACATAATACCATTTAAGGGATCTAGTTAATGTTGCAAATAGGACAAAGGAAAAAAATGGAAACAAAGAATGATAAAATATAAGACTTACTCTATCCAAAGAGATAATAAACATTTCAATAAAACAGAGAACAATTACTGAATTATTTGTTACATGTATCATATCATTTACTTTGTTTGACATCTGTTGACAGCGCTGCTGCTCTGTAGTATGAATTAATGTTTGATCCAAATCGACCATGAGGACAAGTTTTCTGTTTCGGTGTAGCCGTTGCTGGTCTTCTCTGCCTAGTTGTTCAGCTTGCTAAAATGCAAACAAAACAATAACAACAACAAAATAAGTCATAAATTAAAAGGCTTCAGACCAAGTAGAGATTCAACCACTTTTAAACACCAGCAGACACCAGTAGAAAGCTGGCTGATACTTTTTAAAAAGAGAGCTAAGTTTAAAAAAAAAAATCCTAAGACTGCCTTCCTATTACAAAATAACCTGCAGAAGCACATATATATTTTAATAGGACAACCCATCTAATAAAACCGCAATTACTAACACTTCTAAATATGATTAAGTGCAAAATATATACAAAGTCTAACGGCTGTTTCTTCTGACTTCAAATATTGTAACAAGTATAATAAGTCATATCTAGCATATGACAGGGTTACATGCTCCTGAGCAAACATCTCTTCAGAAACAAGCTACTACAATAAATGAATTATTTTTAGTAGAAAAGACAATTCAGGAGTAGTTAAAACACTCGGAGCACAAGAATGAGGTATCAATGGGTTGCAATTTGTACTAGTGGAGTGAGTATCCACATCATACTGAGAAAGACAAAATACTAATACTGAGTGATTGCCATTAGCAGGCCATAATTCCCTACGACATGAAACTTTCCCTCTTCCTTCATACTGCTCTAATCTCCCTTCTAATTTATTTTTCCCCATTCTTTTTTCTTTCTCTTAACTATACTTCATGTCTTTCAAGTACACAGAGCATATCAAGGAAAGTTACTAAACAGAAGAGTATAATCAATAGGGAAAATTTTAGCATTATAAAAATAGAATACAAAGTTCTTTTTTATCTTATAATAGGAAAGGTTAGGGGAAAAACAGAAATAAGTAACATTTCCTTCTGGAAAGTATTAATATTTGAATTTAGAGTTCTCACACAAACATACAAAAATCACCACAAGTCTTCTGCTTTTAAGATGTAGGAATAAAAAAAAAGTTTAAGTAGGTATTGCAAACACCTTTTGTATAAAAGAACATGGTAGAAATGTTATCTCTTCTGAATATCCCAGATGAATAATGCTACTTTAATAATTAAACTCTAATAGCTTTACTTAATAACTATATCTGATGGAGAGAAATATTAGAAAAGGTACAAAATTGTTTTCCCAACACGTCCCATACTACTTTTAAAAATTCTAGGAGCGCAGCTAGGTGGTACAGTGGATAGAGCTCCAGCCTTGGAGTCATGAGGACCTGAGTTCAAATCCAGCCTCAGACACATGACAGTATCTGTGTGACCTTGGGCAAGTCACGTAACCCCAACTGCCTCACCAAAAAGCAGGAAAAAAAGTAAAAATTAAAAAATTTTTTAAAAAATTCTAAAGAGCTTGATTATAGCTGTTAATGAACATATCCTGAATTAAAATTAAAACAGGGAGGAGAGGCAAATAATATTGGGGAAGGGAAGAAGAAACAAAGTGGGAATGAAAACTAATCAATTACCAAGTATTTATTAAATGTCTGCTATATGCCAGATACTTTGTGACAAACTGGAATACAAAGACAAAAATTAAACTCTCCCTACTGTCAAGGAGCAGCCCTTCTATTATAAAAAAAAAATGACAACACTGGAAGATGAATGCAAGACAAAATTAAACTAGAAAAGCAAGAATGCACCCTTTCAAAATTACTAAAAAATGTTTTTTTACTATTTCTGAGAAAATCCAAAATAGCACTGCTTAATTCCAAAAATCAGAAACATTAACTAAAAGAGACTGTTAATTTAAATCCCTAAAGCATATTCTATCCATGAGTTATAGCTGAATCAACAGTGGATTTTAAATTAAGAAAGATAAGGCAGAGGAAATAGTTATTTTACCATGACATGAAAACAAAGTCAAACGTGACAATAACATTATGTACTAAGTAGCTTCCTACTCAATACAGGGAAGAAATTTTTTAAAATCTCCTACAATGATTAACTTGATGTAACTATTTATTAATACTTCAGTAAAATGTTGTCATTCGAATACATAGTGCTATCTAGAAAAAGAAAAATGAGAGAACACAATTATACCCCAGTAGCCAGCTTCGCATGAATATAATAGACTGGTTGAAAAGAATAAAAAATTTACAGTTAATATTAACATGCAGAAATTTTGAACAAAAGAAAGGTGATTTTAATATCTCTCCCTGTACACTCCCTCCAATTATGGTGGCTTACATGAAACAGAAATTCTCCTCACTTTTTTTTTAAAGAAAAATCCATCAAAATCTTCCTTCTTTTGCCCCAAGTGACTAAACTTACCTCAGAGCTAACCATCAGTTCTGGCACACTGTGCACCATGGAGACAGTTGCTGTGGATAATGGCACTTGCTGTTTTCCATTCTTATTCTGTAGCCTTTGTTTAGACAGAGGGGGAAAAAATCCAGTTTCAATAAAGCACATTTCAATACTATTGAGCTACATGCAGAATAGCTGCAAATTACACATGATAAAAAGTCATCACTGGGTTTTAGGATTTATTTTTGAATATAATATTCTAAGAGTCGCTTTAAATATATGACTACTGAAATGGACTGAAGGTCAGAAAAAATTAAACAAATAATCAGTTAACTATTTCTAAAATTCTTTATGAAAATTAAGCTAAAGAAATTAAACCTGAAAATATAAAATTAGATCTTAAATGATAGCTCAACCATAAGGAGTTCAAAAAAAATTTTTAACCAGATAAACTATTTTTATTTTATTTACAAAGTAGAGCAAGCAGTTTTATTTTAATAATTATTCCTTTTATCCCAAGTTACTTAAAAGTATAATACAATAAGAATCCATGATTTTCTAGCTAGTAATTCTATCTGTTGTACTCTAGATGTTTCCTTAATGAAGCACAAGGATAAACATACTTTGTTACCTGCTAGGAAAACAAATTTTAAAAATTTTGTTATACTTCTAAAAGTATATAATTTTCCACATTATTGTGACAGAATTCATAATAACAATCAATGCTTTACTGGAAACAATGTATTTGCTTTTTACTTGTTCAGTATTTGAAAGAGATCAAGGGATCACAATGGCCTGAAAATAAAATAGTACTGCTTGCCTCATTTTTATACCAGAAGGATTAAGTGTTTTATCACAGCTCTAAATCTATGACGCTAAGATTAATGCATGTTATTAGACACACATATTCCCTTCTAAGTTTTCAACAAAAATTAGCACTTCAACTTCTCCTTTGGAGCTCCTACAAGTCTAACACATCTTAGCATTATTACATAGCATGTAACACCAGGGAAAAACTAGGTTGTCCAGCACACAAAAACCAAGCAGCAGACAACACTGAGGAAAATCTGCTGGTAGTAATTTTTCCAGATATTCCACTCATTCATCACCTTCAAATAAGGCCTTGATTATATAAAAGGCCTTAATGGATGCTCTATGTTCTTTGTTCTCTCCTCCCTTTTATAGTTACTAATTGTATCTGAACAATCATTATTCCCTGTATTTTACAAATTCTCTAGGAAAATTTTAGTGTCGGAAAACTGTGAAAGGAGGTTAACGTTGACCCAACTTCAGAGATTTTTTTCCCCAACTTCAAGCAACTATTCCATGACATAGTATTTAGTCCAAATATTATGTCACATAATATCTAGTCAAATGCTGTAAACAAAGTAGGCATAAGAAACATTATAATGAAATGGTCCTAGTCACTCTCTCATTACTCCCAATATTCTGGATGAAGTGTCCATCCCATGAGGGTGAGGGATTAAGAATTTTCTAAATGTTTTAGCAAACCATGTCTGCCTAATGTGTTTATTTACCCCATTAGCTAGATCCTCAAATACAGGATCAAACTGCTTTTCTTAGCTTCTAAGTTAACAGGTTAGAAGTAGTATAACTACACACATTTGAATATGCACTAAATTCTTCATGTTTAATTTTTTATGGTTAAAATTGTTTACATGAAAATCAAATTAAGATAGCCAAAGATTTTTTTAACCAATGTAACAGACTTGGTAAAATATTCATAATCCTAGATTTGTTTTTGCTATGTCTGACTTTTATTCACCTAAAAAAAATTAAATTTTGATCATTTAGTCCTGACCGGAAGACTGGAAGACAGACAAATAAGTGCCAATTCAAGCTATGTCGTGTTCCTCCCAGGCTTTTGGCATGCATAATTCAAAGCTTTTTATATCTGTCTGTCATCATGTTCACTTCTAGAGAAACTACAAGGTCAAGCAGTTTACTTTCTTAATTAAATTTATAAGCCTTCAAACTAACAATAAAAAAAAAATGAAAGAAGCCATTTTTAATATAACTAAACAAAAAAGTCTTAAATTTGCAGTTAGTATCAATAATATCAATGATAAATATCAATGATAAATAGGAGACCAAAAGAGATCCAAGTTAGGTTTATTTATTTTTGTTACTACACTGTAGCCATGATAGTACTTCAAGTACATTATCTTCTTACCGATTTAATCTGCTTATTTTCAAACAAATTTTATGTATTTTTCATCTACAATTATACTTACTGTGTTAAGTCTTGACCACATTCAGCACATAAACCTTTCATAACTACTGGGTGGCTACATCCTTCTAATCTCACCAGAACACCTCTGAAAAACAAAGTGACGTGAAACATTTTAATAGCATAATTTCTATGTAAAATCAGTGTGTTCTGCAGTATTTGAGATTAAAAAAACCTCTGAAAAAGAAATACATTGAAAAATAATATTTAATTAAGAAATGATGCCTGATTAAATCTTAAAACTACTATTATACTTTAAAGTACAAAATATTAGAAAATATCCAAAAAGGTATGTAAATTTTCCTTAGATATCATTCCTACTATACAGACAAAAATCTAGCTACATTTTTCCACCACAATAAAACCACAATATTTATAATTTTATACATAAGCTTTTTGTTTTTCTTATACTTCACTCACCACAAAGCTACTTTTTGTTATCCCTGAAAACAGTTATATGGTTATTTGATATACTTTTACAGGCATTAACACAAAGTTAAGAACTAAATTTATACAACCCTGGTTTAACAATTAAGTTTAAATCTCAACATGTCTAGGGACAGCAACTTCCATCTCACAAAGAAGCCCATTCCAATGGGCAACTCTAACAGTGACAAAGTTATTTCCTCACTCTTACTTAAAATCTAACTCCCTGAAACATAGTTCTGTCATCTGAAACTAGAATGACACCAATTCCTCTTCCACAAAAGGGCTCTTTGTCTTCTCCAGGCTTAAGTTCCAGTTTATCTTGCTACCTCTTATTTGACATGTTTTCCAGTCCCATCACCATTCTGGTTGTTTTCCTCCTTACTTAGTGACATTTCTCTTAAAACGTGATGCTCATAAAGGAATACATTGCTCTCTATATATAATCTGTCCAACAAAAGCTATAGTAGTACTGTTAATTCTCTTTTGCTATACTTCTCTTGTAACATCAGTAGTTTGTTTGTTTGTTTTTTTAATATACTTCAGGGAACAATATACAAAAGCTGAGCCTTCCCACTATTTCCGGATGAGAGTGGGATGCTATTACACAAATTTATGCTATACAGACAACAGTAGTCACCCCCTTTTTTTTGGCAGTCACAATACTCTTAAGCCTGTAATCAGCTGGGCACTCCCCAAAGTTTTGGTTTTTTTCCCCCATATTTGCAATGTTTATACACCATCATGTATGGAAAAAACTTTAGCCTAAATGAATGAGCTTACATTTATGATTATTCAACTTCATAGTGCTAAATTTGGACCTGTAATCAGAATCCAAAGAATTAAGTAGAATTTTTTTTCTTTAAGTAGGAATATCCTAAGGGGGGGGGGGCGCAGATCAAAATCAGGTTGTTTCCATTTATATCAGTTCTTGTTAAAAACAAACAAACCAACACACCCACAAACCATAAAACACCACAACGTATAAAGAGGCTCTCATTCTAACTTAAGAAACATTAAGTCTCATAGGTAAAAAGTAGTATGGGGCAGGGGATTGAGGACTAACCTTAGAGTCAAGAAGATGTGGTGTAAAACTAGGTGATTAGATTAAATGGCCTCAAAGGTTCTTTCCAGCTCTATATCTGTGATCCCATGACCAGAGTTCAAGTCCTGTTTCTGACATTTACTATCTGTGGGATATTGGGCACGTCACTTGAATTCCCAGTGTCTAAATGTAGACCAGTCACCAATCTGCTGCAGTGGAAAGTATTTCCACATCTGGAGTTCTTTAGTGAAATCATATACATACACCACCCTCCCCCCCCCCCCGAACAAGAACTACCATAAAAAGCAGAAGTCTTTGGAAAGTAGGCTTTAAAAGTAACTCAAATGTCTATACTCTTTGATCTACAGATCCCATTGTTAGGCATATATCCCAAGCAAGTCAAAGACAGGAAAAAAAATGTCCTATATATACAAAAATATTAATAGCAGCCATTTTACAGTAGCTAAAAACTAGAAACAAAATAGGAAACCACTGATTGAGGAATGGCTAAAATTGTGACACCTGAGTGTAATAAACGTTATTATGTCTTAAGAAATGGTCAACATGAAGAATTCAGAGAAGCATAGGGAAGACTTAAATTAACCAATTCAGGATAAAGTAAGCAGAACTATATAAACCATATGCACATGACTACTATATACACAAAACAAATCTGAACACAATATAATTATAATGACAAAATCTGGTCCCAGAGAAGAACTGATAAAATGTACATCCTTCATCACTCCATTGAAAATGTATGGGAGTACTAGCATAGAATATTGCATATGCTACCAGACACAGTACACTGTTGGTTGGTTTTCATCTACTGCCTTTTTTCTCCATCACTTTAATTTTTTTTGCTACAAAGGACATCTAGAGTAGGGAGTGGGGGGGAAAGAGATTTATTTAGCAACGAAGCTGGTATAAAAACAGAGGGCATCAATAAAAATAGTATTTTATATGTATGCAACATAAAAAAATAGCATGGATGCTAAAGTCAGGCTTCTTTATTCTGATGTTATAGAATAAGCGAGTTAGGGGCACTGACAACTCCACCTCAGCAAAACAGGGAAATAGGGAAGACAGGGCTCTGTGTCATAAATCATTGATCTCCCTTTTTTAAAATTTGTGTATCTGTGTAATATTTTCCAGAAAGTTTTATAAGTAGGTCACAAAAGGTTACAGACTATAATGACCACTCATAGAACTAAACACACCCAAAGTCATAGAATGACTTTCATATATGAATGGCTATCTTTACTTGTCTCCTTTCCTTAACTCCAAACAGCACTAGACAGCAAGCAAACTGTTCTGGGGGTTGACTTCTCACTTGATGGCCAGCAGAGGGAACCCTCTGACCTAGCATCTTTTCTACCACCTTTCTTCTGCAAGGGGAAAGGATTATGTTCCTACAATGGTATTTGGAGTTACAAGGGTCATTAGTGCCATCTAGCCCAATCTTCTCATTTTACAGATAAAGAAACTTGAGCCCAAAGAGGTTAAATGACTTGCCCATGGTCACACAGGTATTAAATGGTAGAGGTGGGATTTGAACTGAAGCCTTCAAACACAGTGCTCTTTTCTGTTTCCCCACTACTCATATTCAGTTAAATTTTACTCTTACAAATAAATATCTTTTGTAGACACATCAAATTTTCTCATTTTTCCCTCTTTCCCCTTTAGAATCCAACTCTTGACCAAAAACAGTTTCCTTCCTCCTTTTCATTTTACCTGCGGATTTTTAAAAAAATCTAATTCAAATATTTAAGCAACTCTGGGGGAAGGAAGATACAAAGTTTAGATAAACTAGTTGTCATTGCTTACACTGCCTCGTGGGGGGGATGATACACAAATAACTGTAACATAAAATAATCCATAAGTGCATAAGAGGTATGAGCAAAATATTGTGTGATGGGAGTAGGGGAATAGAGGGATAGGAAGCAGAGAACCAAGGAAGGCTTTCATAAGCTGAGAGGGGTAGGAAAAAAAAAAGAGAGCATACTAGCTATCTGTTGCTGTTAGTCATTTTCATCCATGTACAACTCTTTCCTGCATGTCAGAAATGTCCAAAATTTAATTGGGCTGCCTCTGGAATTTTGTTGTTATTGTTCAGTCATGCCAAACTCCTGGTGACCAAATTTTTGGATTTTCTTGGCAAAGATACTGGAATGTTTTGCCATTTCCTTGTACAGGTCATTTTACAGATGAAGAAACTGAGGCAGAGGGTTAAGTGACTGTAGAGGGCCGGCTTTGGGGAGTTGGAGGGCTTAGGCCAGCCCGGGTCTTACCTGCTGTTTGTACTAAGCCTGACAGCTGTGAAACTCAGGATGTCGGCTCACCACCCCCCCTGTTCCATGTCTTGAGAACAGGATGCAGGAAGGAAGGAAACGGATGGGGTACAGGACAGGACACAGGAAAGAATGTAACAGACAAGGTACAAGGAAGTAAGGAAATCACTTAATTAGATTTGTACTTTTCATGAATAATAATGTTACTATTGCTTGATCCAGTACTATATAAGCCTGAGCCCTCAGATCAGTAAACAGAGTTTGTTCTTCACTGCTCTCACCTGGCCAGTGATTCTTTCTCTCTTCACACTCTGCCGGCATCAGACCACAGCTGGGGACGCAGGCGCTCCCGGCAAGTGACAACCAAGGCAAGAAAAGTAAGAGATCACCAGGTTGTAGAGGACCTTAAATGAAAGTACTACACCAGTTCAAGTGAATGGTATTAAGTTCTAGAGTGGTTTGCAAAAGAAACAAAGGGGAAAAGTGCAACAAATATTGTGAAGGCAGAATTAGCAAAATTTGAAAACTGGTTGGAGAAGAAAAGAAGGTTGGGGGGAAGCTACATGGCACAGTGGATAGAGCACTGGCCCTGGAATCAGGAGGACCTGAGTTCAAATCTGGCCTCAGACACATATCACTTACTAGCTGTGTGACTCTGGGCAAGTCACCTAACCCCAATTGCCTCAAAAAAAAAAAAAGAGAAGGTTGGAAAATGTTTGCAATAAATTATCAGGATGAAGTAAGGAAGAGGAATAGGTTTAGGCCACACTGAGTCTGAGGCCCTTGTATAACATCCTCATAGAGATGCCCTGTACAGTTGAGATATAGATTATGTAGGAGTCATCTGCATATAGATGATAACTGAAAAATGAAAATTGATGAAATAAGCTATTTGAAAAGCACTTAGCACAGGGCCTTTCACCTGGTAGGTGTTTAAAACTTACTCCCTTCCCTTTCCTTTTGAAAACATATAACTGAATAAAATTGTAAAGGAAAAAGTATACAGACAGAAGACTGACACGGTCAGAACTTTGGGAGTATACCCCTTTAGGGGGCTAGGAAGAGAAGCTCACAAATGAATAAATGAAAAAGTATAAAATTAAATAAGGAGGATGAAAACTGCAAAAGGTCACTGGATTAAGGAAAATTCCAGAGAAAATTTAATGAGACACATCAACAAGCCCTCTTCTAACACAGCAAAGGTAGAGGTATGTATATTACTAGGACAGAATATCATATATGTTCCCTGCCCAGTCTCTGTATCAAATGTTTTTCCTAAATGTTCTCCTTTGTCCCACAGGAAGAGGTGGGAGGCGAATTACTTCA